AACCCAATTCGGTACACTCTTTGTACGGACTACATTTCGCGTGAAAAGGCACGCAGCAGGAGTTCCTACGTGTGGTACTATTGTAAGGAAAATATTTCTGAAAAGGCATGAAAAAATTGGTGTGAAGATATGTTACATAGTTATTTTTCAATCACCGATAAATATCGGTTTACTCACCTCACTGCTTCCACTTTGGCATCTTTGATATCCTCAATTTCGCTAAACACTTTGTTCAAGGATGCAACGTTCATGTACTTCATAACGTGTAAAATTCTGTTGATCGTTTGGTCGTGCTTCCAATCTATTTGTTTCTTATCGACGTGAGTTTCCTTCAGGTAACCAGCAACCTCGTCCAACATTTTCTTCACTTTAACCACAAGTTCATCGAGTTTAACAACATGCCGGTGACCAGTTACGTCTATATCAGCTTCAGGAACGTATGGAGTTTTAGGTTCATCGTAGATGACCTTCTCGATAGGCGAAACAATTAAGTGTTTGGAGCCCATTAATTGAATGTCAGATACGGGAACGACCTTTTCGAGGGACAAAGTTTGGCTGCAAAAACAGATATCGTTCTTAAATAAAACTTTAGCGAAGTGTTTATACGTATTTGGAATTATAATAATATGTTATCACTCTCAAATTACTTGATCAAAAGATAATGAGCTTCTGATGCAGCCAGCCATGGGAAGTAGTTAATCACTGCATGTCCAATCAATTTTTTAATAAGGATTTCATTATCCTGATTATCTATTACGAAAACGCGTCTGCTGGAAGTGCTCATGTCGTTCTATGTAACGATATAGAAATGAAAATTATGAAATTAAAATTTTAGTACAGAAAAAATGATAGAAGAGATCTACTGTTCTTAATACCCTTTCATGTACTTGACATTTGTGGCATTGAACATGATTAAACTCGTGGTATTTGAAGTGAGAACAGTTCATGGATTCGTAGAACTTTGTAACTACGAACTCTTTGCCAGATGTTGCTTGCATTTCGTCCATTGGCTGTACGTTATATGCCACTTCGCAATTGCCATGAATGGTAACCTAGTGGTAACAACCAAAGAGAACATTAACCAAAACCCAAGGATGTTCCCATCAGTCGTTACCTACCTCCTGAGATATAAAACTATGTGCTTTTATTGGGCTTTGAACATGCATCTGATCCAAGTCCAATTGAAGCATAGAGACGATACCCTTCTTCACGTTCTTCGACCATCCTGGCTCATCTTCTACGAATTTCACGCCTTCAAGCTATGATAATACAAATATGTTTCATTTCCTTCGTTATTGGAATGCTTGTCGCATTTCTAAATTACTTCTTTATCTTCTCGTAACTTACGTGCCCATTTTCCTCATAGATAACGAGGAAAGGATTCAACAGCGCTTTAGCGGCGTCGATCGGTAACAGCTGGCTTACAGACTCGTAATGTTTCATCGGTCCATTGTACAACCCATGTTTCATATCACTCAAAGTAACGTAAAAGGTATTCTTTGAGTTTGGATTGGTGACATCGTGGTGCACCTGAAGGAGGCATTCGATATTAAAGTCGGATGCGAATGGAGCCGGGTCGATGATTCCAGCGTTCACGTCAGCATGGTATTTGTAAGTCACAATTTTTCCATGGGGGAAAGGTGCTGCAATAATGTTTGATGAGATTATATTTATAACTGTGTCTTAAAATTGTCATGCGATTCGTAATTTCAAGTCCAAAACTTCTCTGCATGAAGAGTTCGGCCGACTTGGTTCACTTTATTTCCATTTAACGTACCTTGAACGGCAAACGCCGTAGCTAAGATCGCCAATAATGCTGCAAAATAAGAAATTTGTGTAATATTTCAAGTTATTGATAACGTTCGAAGATATATGAGAACAAAACATGTAAACCCCTCTTTGCTCTTTCCTTATTACTTACCGATTAGAGTATCCATTATAGTATGACCCATGCAACAAGACTGGTATTGCCGCTGCATCGCTTTCTCCTTTTATAAGGCGAAAAATCTGCAAATCCCGGTGGAATAAGAAAATGCGAATACAATGATAACCCCTCCCGAAAGGATGTTATGAACTGGCTGTGCCGGTGTAATCAATACACAAGATAACCCGTTCGGACATCGTCATCAGTTACTTTTGCTACGTGAATAATTTTTAAAAATATCACCTAAATTAGCTAGAACCTGGTCCGTAGTTTTTACGTTAATTGAGCATTTCATAGAAATTTGTCTTTTTAATCTCCTTCTATCCTTTCACGAAACAAATACATATAAACAATATCAAATAAAACCTTATCAGCTATTTTGTCGGAAAGTATCGCGGATATGGATTGAAAACTTGTTCTTAATTAAATGGGACTGAAAGATTAATTAATATTTTTGGGATAGTCCCTTTATTCTCTCTTCTTCTTTTTCCCTAGTGTCGAAATAAAATTTAAGTGAGAAATTCTTTTTATTTTACATAATTAGAGAATTGCGGTGAAGAATATTTTTCTCAAAAAAAGAAACATCGACAAATCATCAGAATAAATGTATTCTGGATTAAGAGATATTTTCCATGGCATTGCTAGAGTTCCAAATATTTATTAAGTCATTGAACAGTTGATAAAATTAATGCAACAAGCGATGCGCAGGCGGCACGCATTCTTACATACGCTCTGAACTTCTTTTATTCCTTGAAGTTTCTCTTGGAAGAGGCATTCTCTGTTATGATTCTTTAATTGTACAAAATAAAAAAGAATATTATTACATCGATAACAACTATTCCATTGAAAGAAAAAATAAGGGGAGCAGCCTTTGTTCTAGAAGCCTTAAAAAATCTGTGATATATTAGATAATTAGTTCCCCTGACCCATTTAATTAAAAGAAAAGAATTGTTTTTATATTCGTAGAAAACTTTGATTAATCATTGGCTATTTATTTATAGTTTCACAATATAATCAGTGATAAATAACATAATTTGATGTGCTAATTTTAATACGATGACAGACAATTTCCTTGATAGAAAATTTTCCTTAAGATTGTTTTTGTTCTTTTAAGTCACAGTATTGCAAATATTTTCGATTAATGAATATAATTGGCTTTATCAATAACGTTCAGAAGAGCAACAAATAAAATCCGATTGCGTGTTTACCGTCGTGCGTGACAATCAATAACAATATAAAAGTATATAAAGATTACATTATTCCATATATAGCAATAACGAAAAAAGAATGTTACTAATAATGTTACTAATGTTACTGCGAAATAAATACGTCCACTTTTTTGTATGTATTATATATTGACAAAATTTTAAAAATTCAAAAATATAAATTTTCATTGATAAATAAACGTGGTACAATGTTAAAAAATATTGCATCATTTTACAACACATCGATAAATGTATGGTCAATATTTACGTTACGTGAAATATCGTTTGCTAAAATCAATTTTTAAATTCTTTTCCTACTTTTTATTGTTCGTATAAACAATTCTTCGGTAACAACTTATGACGAAGTCCATCAGCTATCGTCACCCCAGTCAAACTGTATTTTAAACGCTAAATCTGCTTTGATAAAATAAGAATAATTTACGTAGTAAATTAACATTGGATTAAAATGACGAATGCATACTTTGATGATATACAATCATTCATGCGAGAAAATACATATTTATATAGGAAATAGTAAACAATACGCCATGAAAAACAATTAAAATATATTTCTCAATGCTAATAGCTTGCAAATACATATTTTGAATACCTATAGGAAACATAAAATTAAATGAATATTATACTTTCAGGAACAATAATTTTTTTCGATTTAATGTTGAACCTCTTTCATAAAATGTTCCTTTAGTTTCTTTAGCGCTTTGCTACGGTGTGAAATTTGATTCTTCACTTCTTTCGGTAATTCTGCATAGGTTTTATCACTGCCCAAAGGCTGGAAACATGCATCCCAACCAAAATCTCGTGGTCCTCGAGGACTCACGATGGTTCCATCGGTTCTACCCTGAAACAATAAAACCGGATCTTCCGGTTCTCCGGCGCAATAGGCAAAAGTGCAAAGCGCTTCCGCAGTTTTGTCTTCCCAACCATGGAGCATTTGGTACAATCCTTCTGGTCCTAATTTATCTAAGAACCATTTGATATAAGGTCCAGGCAATCCTTTCATTGCTTTGAAGCATAAACATGTGTCTTCAATAATAACAGGACCTTTTATTATATCTGCTGCTGTTCGACATTTGGAAACGCAAATCTCATCTATCTCTCCTTGATATTCCGGAAGGTCCACCTTCATGTTTTTAACTTCTCGTGGAAAATTCTTTCCCAGAATAGTCACAAATTCCTCCAGTTTTTTTTCATTTCCGGTTACGAAGGTTATTGGTTTCGACATTCTGTAAAAGAATATGAAATCTAAAATTTCCCGCCTATTCTGATTTCTACAGTTGGTAAACATGTCGGCAAGAATATATATTATGAAAGCAAAAACATAAGACGCATTGGCCTTCCTTCTCGAATAAATAAGATTAAATAATTATTAAAAGATATACATATATTATATGTAGATGCATATTTCATGACTCAATATTACGTTTGTCACATTTCTTTAGGTAATTACTACATATCTGATAAGAACTACCTTGCAATACTTCAGAATCGAACAAAACACGTGTGGAAGAGTATATTTTCGCAACAGTGCTGCTAACTATAATTTCTTATTGTACTTACAATAAATGCAAAAGCATTTTTATAATTATTTAGAAAATAAATTTCATGAAAATTTCATTCGCTTTGTCTCACCTCGTGAGGGATATAAATTGGAAAAAAAATGTATAAAGGTTACATATATACAAAATCTTTAAATTGACCTTAAGCTGATTTTAAATTAGGATATAATTAGTTATTGTAATATAATTATTATTAATTATTATTTAATATATTATTATTTTTTGCTTGTTGGAAATACCTAGGATATAATATCTTATAGAGATATAGTTGATACATTTTCCTGAAAGTGGCGCTTATATTGTCAGATATTGTTTACTTTCACGTACTTAGAAGGGTCTTTTGTGAATGGTCAGTGAATGACTTGGATGTTGTTTCTGTTGTGGCTACGTTCATTGGTTAAAGTCAAAGGAATTGCTCAAAAATGCCGAGTCAAGAGGTTGTAACTACAAAAGTAGTCGTGCACCCTTTAGTTTTATTAAGTGTGGTGGATCATTTTAATCGTATGGGAAAAATTGGCAATCAGAAGAGAGTTGTTGGTGTTCTTTTGGGATGTTGGAGGGCTAAAGGCGTTCTAGACGTGTCAAACAGTTTTGCAGGTTAGGTTGATGCTACTATCATTCACTATTTGCTTTTGAGAGTTTTACCAACTTTTTTAATAAAATGGCATATTTTTTACTAATTTATCGTTCTTTTGATACCTTTATAGATAAAATGAAGTTATTTTTATCATAAAAATTTCTAATTTTAATAGCCTATATAGACATGCACACATTTCAAATTTTAGTTAAATGAATTAAGAATATCAAATATTATTATCTTCGTTTACAGTTCCTTTTGATGAAGATGATAAGGACAAAAGTGTATGGTTCCTTGATCATGATTATCTTGAAAACATGTATGGAATGTTTAAAAAGGTCAACGGTATGTATCTATTGGAAACATAAGCACATGAGCTGATAAACAATCAGAATTTTATATTTCATTAATCCATTTTAGCCCGTGAAAAGGTAGTAGGATGGTATCATACTGGGCCCAAATTACATCAAAATGATGTTGCGATTAACGAATTAATCAGAAGATATTGCCCTAATTCTGTTTTGGTCATTATAGACGCTAAACCCAAAGATCTTGGTCTTCCAACAGAGGCGTATCAAGCTGTTGAAGAAGTTCACGATGTATGTTTCATAACATAATTGCTATGTAAATGTTAATTTATATTGTAATTAATATAACTGTAAATTGATTACAGGATGGTTCCCCGACATCTAAGACCTTTGAACACATTCCTAGTGAAATCGGTGCAGAGGAAGCAGAAGAAGTAGGTGTAGAACATTTACTAAGAGATATTAAGGACACCACAGTTGGTACCCTTAGTCAAAGAATTACAAATCAACTACTAGGTTTAAAAGGTCTTCATGAACAAATTAGAGAAATTAGAGATTATTTGCTACAAGTTGGTAATGGAAAATTACCTATTAATCATCAGATTGTTTATCAACTACAAGATATTTTTAATTTACTGCCCGATATGACACAAAGTAGCTTTGTTGATTCATTATACGTGAAAACAAATGATCAAATGTTGGTTGTGTATCTTGCTGCTCTCGTTAGATCCATAGTGGCTTTACACAATTTGATCAATAATAAACTAACCAATCGCGATGCTGAGAAAAAAGAAACAGATAAGAAAGAAGCGAAAAAGGATGAGAAGAAAGAAGAAGAAAAAAAGGACGAAAAAGATAAAGCAAAAAACAAAAGTCAGTGAATGAAGTGAAACTAAGACTAATTTGTGTGATTGAGACTGTTAACATTGCAGAAGTTCACAAACGTTGCAGAGTTTGTTTATACATGTACAAATGTATTTTGTGCTTACAAACGATTGGTATTTCAAATTAACACCAAAATAAATCGAATGTTCGAATGTTAAAGTGGTCTATCATAGTATGATATATACATTAAATAAAAGATACGATAGTAGAACTGCAGTTACACATTTCCACCATTTATAGTAAATATGAATTATAGCAAGTATGTTGTACAATTAATAAGAATTCTGTATGAAACTACGTTTACAAGACATAATGCAATGAATGTTTTCACTGATAATTCTTTTCTTTCATACTAGGAATGAGCAACTGCTTCAAACTACTTATAACTTTTATATAATGTATCAATATCGGTAAAAAAAATTTCGTAATTTTTTCATAAACCAATACCATTCAATTGTCGTTCACGGCACGTTTGAATGTATCAACGTTTTCTATATCATCTGAAGGTAGCAGATAAGATTCTTATAACACACGATTCGTAGATATTATAAACATATTTTCTAGAGAAGTTAAGCTTTCTTAACTATCATACTGCGTTATTAATAAAAATCAATCATTCGGATTTATAATTTTATTTGTGTTTCATTACTACACAAAAACTCTGTGAACGCCATTACGATATGCACAATAAATCAGTTGTGCATTTCTTTATATTATAAAATTTCATATCTGACCATAGGCATGAAGCACAAAATTGTGAACCTTTTATGGACATGTTATCTGTTTTTCATAATTAAAACACTTTAACATTGTCCCGTAACACTTGGATTCTTTTTATCTTGTTTTTACCGTTCAGGCCGACCGATATTTTACACGTAATTAAGAGCACTTCAAATATTAATTATTTAATAAATTAATTGTGCTGGAGATATCTATATTTAATCTTCCATGTTTTTATATGAAAATGTACAAAATAAGAGAGAGATATATTTGACCCAATAAAGTCGATCGAGTCACACTAGTCTTTTCACCTCCACTGTATACTACACCAACAAAAGGTTCTAAATTAGTGTCGTTATAATGTTGAAAGTACCAGTTAAAAGAATTGTCTTCAAGAATCTCAGCATTTTCATTGGAAGATCCATCTATGCCAAACAATTTCTCCTCGGCATTCTCCAAATTTCGTTGAACAGCTTCCGCCACGGATTTTTGTTTCTCTGGTTCACCAGAGAGGCCAATACGCGGTGATGGAACTTTCGTTATCGTTGGCCTGCCTAGTGGACGCAGATTTGGAACCAACGAAGGTACTTGACCTCCTGGTATCAGGAACGCTGAAAGAGCCGATGCCTCTGTTTCTCGAGAAACTTGAGACGTGGAAGAAAAATTTTTCCGATTTTCCGAAAGGGTTGAACGGGAACTTGATCGTTCTGTTACGATAGTACTCGAGTCATCTGTAATTAATATTAAAGAAATATTTACTTTAAATTACGTGTAAAAAAAATTACGATACAAGTTATAATTTTACCACTCGGCTCGTTTGGGATGTTTGTTACAGGACTGGACGTTTTTTGAAATCCGTTTACTTCAGTATCCCAGTAGGAATCTTTTTCTCCTTGTAATATCTCTGTTGATATTTCCTTTGTCGTTTCCAAGACAGCTCTCGGAGTAGTCCAAACAATTCTACTCGCTACTTCTATTTGTGGCCTTTCTTCGTTTTTACTTGCTTTTTTAATCATCTCTAGAGTTTCTCCACTATAAATTTCGGTAGATGTAGAAGTTTCATTTGTTTCTTGCAATGACTCGTCTGCCGCGGGGCTCAAATCAGACGTCTTCGTTGAATTTGTAACAGCACTGAAAAGATGAACAATAAGATACGTATAACAATTCTTGTCTTATTTAACAACTTATTGACTCGTTTACCTGATTTTTTTCGTGTCAGTTACTTGCCAACGAGAATCTTGTTCATTAGCTGACACCGTGGACAACTCTTCCCTTTCTTTGGACCCTGCTTTAGGCTTGCTCGTTTTTGGATAAGCCCTTTCGACTTTCACCACCGTTCCATTTCCACTTTTCCATCGTTTTCGCCCTTCTTGAGTAATGTTTGAGTTTTGAACCCTTGATGTTTCATTTTTAATCTGTTTTTCATAAGTTAGCCTGGGATCAACGATAGGTACAAATCCACCTTGTCCACGTGGTAACGGTACGAAACCACCTCTATGGATTTCCGGTTCTGTAGGTGGGAACATCCTGTAACGACCTCTTCCAGGTCTTCCCGAAGAATTCTTTCTTTCGAACTTCTTCCTCGAATTACCCCAAAGATTGAAATTGAGACTAGGCAAAGGAACCCCGAAAAAGGTAAAACCAGAGCTACTGGGAGAGGGAGGCATCGAAGTACCCTTTTTTATGGGAATCGTATTGTTCGTCGAAGGTTGAATCATCTCCGTTGTTTGAGTGGCTTTCACAGCTTCTGGTGCTATTGTAGTCAGAAACTGAGTCGACGTGAAAGTTACATTTGTCGTATTACTTTTGCTGTCTTGGTAATCCGGATAGTCGTAGAAGTAATCAGTATCCTGAGTATTGGGAGGATTTTGTGTTGACGAGTCTTTTAGATTCATACGAAGTGGTACCATCTCCGTTGCTCCAAATACTGATAAAGTATTTATTAAGCATCTGATTGATAAACGAAAGTGATAATTTGCAAATATTACTCACTAGAAGAGGAGACAGGATACGGTGCAACGTCGATCATTTCCGCCTCGCAGCCGGGGTGGATCGGATCAATCTGTCTTTCGCGTTGACAATCCTGACGTGATAATCTAATTTCCTTGAATAAAGATCCGTCCGCGCATCTTGGACCTTCGGAGGAAGCTTGCTGCAGCCATCCCCTTAACCATAACATTCCACAGGAACACGAAAGTGGATTTCCTTTAATACGAGTAAAATTATTTTTACGAAACACTAGTATAGAATACCAAGTAGTAAAGAAAAGAAGAAATTTGATTACCATCGATATCTAAGACAGCGATGTTTGATCGCAATCTTTTGAACGCTGCTTCCGAAACGGAAGCCATTCGATTGCTTCTTAAACTGAGAACTCGAAGTCTCGGCATTTCATCGAAAGGCGAACCTTGGATGGTACAAATACGATTGTTGTCCATCTGCAATTAACATGGACAACATATGTAAAACGATCCGCTATCTTCTTAAATAACGATACAGCTACATTTGCAGAATAATTGCTCTACTAGCATAACGAGTGGCCTCGCACCACGCTTCGTGGCGAAGTTTCACTCTCGACGAGAAAGTATTCCCCGTTATTACTAAAGACTATCCCCACCATAGGCATATTTTTTCGTACTCGGTTTGCGTTTAATACGATCATTACGAAAATCGACTTTTATCACAACCATTCCATTCATTTTCACTCTCGAATACTTCATTTGAAAGAAAGAGATATTTCGTTCACAAGTCATTAATTCTTTTTAATTAGCACATTTATTAGCAAATAATCTACGAAGCAATTATTTTCATCCTCAATTTTGTTTTACTTACTTTCAGCTCGACCAACCACTCCATCGATGCTAAACTGTTGCTCGATACCCTAGACAATCGATTATTGCTCAAATCTAAAACTTCCAGGGAACGCAAGCTCTCTAAACCAACGTAGTCCAACGAAGGTAAATGATTGTTGCTTAGATTAAGGAAGAGAAGGTGAGGCACGTTAATGAATGCGTTACTTGCAATTTCCTGGATCCGATTTTCCTGAAGTTCCGCGCTTTGCAGCAGTGGCAACTCGGTGAAAGCTCCGCTTGGAATTATCTACGTACGTATGTCCAGATAATTATAGCGACAGTAACCAATCGTTATAGTTTCTCGATTAAAATCAAAGGAACAACAAATATTTTCTGCTACCTGTAATCGATTTTTCCCAAGTCGTATCGCCTGCAATTCGGGCAGAGCTCTGATAGCGTTTCGTTCGATAATTCTCAGATCATTATTTTCCAGATCGATTAACGTTAACCGTGGCAAACCATCAAAGGCGCCTTCACGCAACTCGCGGATACGATTCCTGACAAGTTTGAGCTCAAGCAAGGCCGATAGACTGCTCAATGTTTCCGGCGACAGGATGTTCAGCTTGTTGAAGCTCAAGTCGAGTACCTGAAGAGCTGTTAAGCCGTGTAACGATCCGGGTAACTCGGTCAAAGTATTGTGCGACGCGTATAGTTCACGAAGGTCTCTGCAATTAACGTCGTTTCCTCCCTTTGATATGGAGTCATTAACAGGAACAGTCGTTTCCGACTTTGACAAATCGGTCTGCCTAAACGTATCTCGGCAGACTTAAGATCAGTTTGCAATAAAATGTTGAAATGAAAAATAGTAATTTTGATTGAAAAAAGGATAGAGGAAAACGTTTAGCGTTCAGAAACTAATACGCCAATAAGTTAAATGACTAAATTTCTAAAAAAAATTACCGTTTAAGGGACCGATCTTTTCGTTCGCATTTAAGCGATTAGAGCTGACTTGTTAAAGCAACAGAAACTGGTAGAAAATAAACGACACGCCAGGATGGTGCCATCTCGCAAATAGAAGGGGACATTCAACACGGGCATGAAGAACTTTCTAGGTACCAATTTGCTAGTGACGCAACCATATAACTACGAGTGAAACTGCTTTTCTACTCGCTTGTTGACGTGCAAAAAATGGCGCATCTTTACGTAGTTTTGTACGCATTATGGTACGAGTGTACTATATGATTATACACAAGAATATTTCATTTTGTTACCTGGTACTTGAAAAAGTTGCATGAGGTATTTGCGCAAGGTTGTTCCTGCTGAGATCCAATCTCTGTAATCGAATATTTTCCTGGAAGATATCTGGCCTTAGAACTTCCAAACGACTGCCCCGTAAATTTAAATCCATCAGCGATCTCAATGGTCTAAAACTTCGTCCATGTAGAGTGACTAATCGATTATATTTTAAGTCCAATTGCTCCAATCTCGACAACCCTTCGAATGCGCCGTCTTCTAAGATTCGAAGAGAATTGTAGCCGAAATTTAACTTTCTCAAGTTCGGCAGGTCGGTCAAAGTTCCTGGTGGTATTCTTTCGATTCCGTTTGCGCTGAGATCCAAGGACCTGAGAACTGGCAGATCGAGGTCTTGAGAAGACACAGCTGGTAGAACGATGATCCGATTCATAGGCATGTGAAGATGTTCTATGTTTCTCGGTAAACCCGGAACTATCTCGAGCATTCGATTCCAACCGATGTCCAGTTCGTAAAGATTAGCTAAATGATGAAACGTGAGGGGATGAAGAACCGAGAGCGCGTTTCCAGAAATGTTGATGTGCTCTAAAGCCGGTGTACCCATGAACGAGTCAGGCTCTATAAGGCCTACAGCGTTTCCGCTCATATCCAAACGTCTCAAACTTGGCAAATTTGCTAATAAACGAGGCTCTATATGACGAAAGTAGTTTTCTGAAAGATCTAGACCCTGAAATTGTAATAGAGCACGATTAAGCTAGAACATAGAGAACGTTTCATCGTCGACCACTTACTTTCAATGATGGCAAGTTCCAGAACGGCGCTTCCAATAAGTTTGACAAAGAATTATTTTTCAATCTAAGTTCCCTAAGAGCAGGCATCGCGGTGAAGGTTTCTCTCTGCAGAAAGGCCACTCTATTGTGATCAAGGTGAAGTCTTTCCAGTGTGAGATGCCCCCTGAGTGCCCCAAATGGTATCTCCTCGATTTGATTGTGACTAACATCGAGAAACTTCAATCTAGGCAAAGCCTCCATTATCGATCTCAGTTCAGTCACGTGACTTAGATCGTTGTTGATCATCCACATCTCCTCCAAGATGTTTCCGGGCCTGCGCGGGAAGAACTCGGGATGTATGCGATGTATTAGATTGTGATTGAGATCTACGGTCTTCAATGCTGGCATTCTTTGAAATGCTCCAGCGAACACCTCGGTAATATAATTCCTTGATAAGTACAAGCGAGAGAGAACAGATAAGTCTGTGAAGGCTCCTTCGCCAAGACGATTTATGCGATTTCTGTCCAGTCGTATCACCGAAAGCGAAGGTAGATCCATACAGGCACGGCCGATCATGCCAGCGTCCACGATCGAGTTTCCAACCAACGAGACCTCTTTCAATTCTGGTAAATCTATCAATGCTCGAGGATGAACCCAATGAACTCCACAGTCTGTGATGTTTATCAACTCGAGACGCGATAGGCTACGAAACAGGCCAGCTTCTAAACGTATCAGACGTGGACTACCAAAAACGTGGAACTGTTCCAAATTAGTCAAGTCTCGAAAATTTCTTGGAGCCAATTCTAGTAAAGCCGGAGAGTTGATCTGGAGATATCTGAGCTTTGGCAGTCCAGAGAATTTAGGCAGCTTTTTCATCGCTTTACTCTGCAAGGTTACTGCCTCGAGACCCTGCAGATTTTCCAAGCTATCTACTGGCAAGGAACGCAAATCTGGTTCCACGACAAATAGCTCTAAGAGAGAGTCGTGAAGTCCCTCTAGCCACCCTGACGACACTCTTTCAAGGCGATTATTTCGGAGCATTAAACGAAGAACACGTAGAGTAGCAAAAACTTTGCCTGGTAGACTAGGCAGATTGTTGTTCTCCAGGATCAATTCGTCTACCGGTCGATCTAAATAATGACTCACTGCCTTTAGACCCTCGAGAACTTTTGGTAGCTCACTATGGCTGCACCTATTGACATATAAGGAATAAATTTCATCCGACTGGTCTTTTCCCATATTTGAAGTACGACACTTGCCATATTTGAATCTCCATGTCACGAGTAGAACATCTGCAAGGTAGAATCCTCTCCTGAGTAGGACATCCGTACTCTGAACCTAACTGAGCACTGACACTGATACAGAACAGTGTCAGGAACCAGCCAGTTATAAAGAGGTTTCCACCCCACGGTAGTTTAACCATAGCGCATTTGGATCTTGGTCTACGACCTTAAATACCAGTCCCACATCTTCTGAAAAAATGATTTAATCTCTAACGCGCAACCAACAATTTTTCCTTCTTTTTAAATTGTAAAAGCGTAACACGCGTTCGTTTCTTTGTAAAACTGGTCGTGATCATCGAGTGTTAAACCGCCCTTGGATGTCACGGTATTTTCTTTGCGTAAACCAAAGGACGCACGGTAGATATACGTGTACACGTACTGTCTACACGTCACGGTCGTAGACGACAAAATTAATGCTTCGTACCGTAAGCAAAGCTAAAGACCGCTAGGACAATCTTTCCCCGCAATAATTACCATCGCCACAAAATTACACGACATAGCTATATTATATCTCTCGCGAGCAAATCAAAATGTTTGTCGTAAATGCAACAAACAGCATAGTGTTTCAAAATACGAAGCATATGTCACGAACGACGCTAAAATATACTTCGACGTCCTATCGTGTCGTCGAACGACTTAAAGAATGGAGCATTGAAGTAAAGCACTGACTTAAGGGAATCGATACGGAAGAGGAAAGTCTTTTTACTCTATCTGATAGAATGAAAACAAAGGTGTTCTTCGAGGATAGTGTCACGGGTGACCACGTGTGTTTCATAATGCGCCTTCCGTAAGTAGGAACAATCGGACGACCTGGAAAGGCAGTCAGACATAAAGAATGTCGATATCACGGTGATCATTAATAAAGAAAGGTTTAATTAAAGATCCATGTGTCAGTTGAAAAGGCCGATTTATACCGCGTACTTCGTTGCAAATTTAAGGGAGCAAATCAGAATTGAGGTATACAGGTCGTTACACTCGCGTGATTGCATTTGCATTGCTCCAAACTAGACTACCTGATTGTTAGGAAATCGCTTTTCATCGTTCAGTGAACTTTCAAATTAAACTATTGAATTCGACTTGATACTAAACAAGCGAGTCTTTTCTATGGACATTCCCTGACAAAACGGGTCTTCGCGTGACTCGAGCTGATTCTGCAAACAGTTGACATAATCCTTCGTTGTGTGGTCTACTAGTGGTAAATTACAACGTGTACAATCGATACAGGTGCAGCACCTCTTCTATTGCAATCGTTATCGTCTATAACTACGATCGAATCATAGCGATCGTATGTGATACTAGTGAAAGTGATATAGCTACGCTTCTTTCGTTTCCTTCCTTGGCTCTGTTTCTCTTTAAACCGCACCAAGTGTAACTACATGGAATTATGCGACTTTAAAATTGGTTGCAAGCGGATTGAGACAACGTTGAATAATAGGAACAGTGTTGTTCCATATATATATGTATTCGTTACTATCCACGACGAAATTATTCTTTGACGTGACGATCTGAAAAAATGAAACTATCCAACCCTTCTGTCTGTTCGATCATTCCTACCTTTTGACTCCGTTTAACTCGCCAAAAGTCTCGACTTATTTCTGGGAATGGGAACGTTCTCTTCCTCTTGGGATTTCGATGGTTTCCATAAAACTGTACTATCTTGAGCAAGAGATTAAACAGCACTGTTTGTTCACAAATAAAAAAATAGCACGTCGCGTATTTTGGCGTTGTTTCGAAAAGCTAGAGCGTCGGTGCGCTCGTTACGAACAGATACGGGCTAACTACACGAAGAAGTTTTGTGCAAAGCGTGCTGATGCACAAAGTCGAGGGGAGAAGATGACTGTGGCGTGGGTGATGGCGAGCGAGACGAAAAGAGAATTGCGAAGTGCCGTGTCCAACCACCGTGAAGGCACGCTTCCAGGAAATTCTTCCCTTTCCACCAAATCTTTACCATACGTGCCAAATTTGACAAATTTCAGATTTAGGATCAACCGTTTTTAAATGTTTTCGCACTTCGAGCATGTCAAAAGATTTTCAAGACGCTACGATTAATTTACAATTATAGAGGATATTTCATAAGCATTGCAAAGATCGAGTAAAATTGAAGCTTGAAAGAAATTAATATTTTCGTACTACTTGATTTTATTCTCTTACTCTAAATAAATTCTATTTATCATGATGTTAGACAACTCTACGACTTAAATCGACAAGAATCACGATTTTCATGATTTTCCTAGGAACGTGCAGCTAAATATGTTCCAGTCCAGATGACACGAGTTCCGTCTTCTCTTATTCACTTTTTTTTTTTAAATGTAGGAAACATGCATTAGTTAGATTCGAAATATGTAATATTGCAGAAAATTTCCATTCGTCTCTAGCTAATCGGTATAAGATTACCATTTATCCAGGACTGGTATCTGAATAGTTGAACGCGTAAAAAAGTGGATTGCTTTTGGTATGTACGTCTGCCTGAAAGATACAATTTTCAAATATTGGAAACATATAGTTAAAGAATACATAGTAATACTTAATTTCTATTAATAATCGATAAATTTCTGTAAAATTAATGGCAGATTACAGAGACGAACAGGCGTCTTATTCGAATAGATTTACCATTGATCAGAGAGTTCTGTACTTATTGATGCACCAACACAAGTTAAAGAACTAATCCGTGTTACAACTGGTTTCTCTATAATATTGCGTGATTATGCGTGCCTGTGGCACTTGTTTATCGTGATCGAGTCGAGGAAGGTCCCCAATTTTCCATGGTTCTTTGAAAATCACGTCTTTTTGTGCGGATAAAAGTTTTTTCCTCGAGCTATTTTCCTTTTTGAGTTCATATGACTGTGCTGTAATCGACGAAACATATAGAAATAATTTTCTTTCGATAAAAAGAACCATCGCTTCTTCCGTCACTAAAATTTTTCTTTCGAATCTCGAGATATGTGGTGCAAGAATTTCTCAAAAACTTCTCAGTGGTTCGCAAGAAATACTTTGAGACATTATCACATTACAAACAATTGTTCGTCGCGAGAAATTAGAAAAACTGGGATCAATAGATCGTATACTACCGAAAGATCACCAAGGATACTTATTACTGGTGAGTACGTTTTACGAAACCAGTTAGGGCTTTTAGAACCAGTTGGCCTTGTTATACATCACACAATTTTCACGCCAATGCTCCAAGCAAAAGGTACACATATGTATACACGTAACTTAACTTATCTGAAAATCTGAGGAATAAAAGCAAGCAAATTATTTAATTGTTGAAAAATAGGTAGTCACGACTTTACATTTACACAAAAATAGAATATTCGCTTTTTACTTATTCTGAATTAAAAAGAACAAAAAAAAAACGTGTTTTCCTGTACATTAATCGTTATCAATAAAAATCTACTTGACATTTACGATATATTTATATCTTTATAAGGTGGTCTCGGGCAACTGGGTACTGAGTGTGCGAAACTACTTCGTAAAAATTACGGAAGCGAAAACGTGATATTATCTGACATAATCAAACCGACAGAAGAAAATTTATCCAACGGACCGTTCATTTTTGCTGATATTCTCGATTTTAAAGGGCTTCAAAAAATTGTGGTCAATTACAGAATCGATTGGCTAATTCATTTTAGCGCCCTTCTCAGCGCTGTAGGCGAGCAGAATGTTCCTCTAGCAGTGAGAGTCAATATAGAAGGTAACATAATGTTTCAAGTTTTACGATAAGATAGACAATATTTCGATGAAATGGAATGTCGCGCCAAGTGAATCTGTCATTGTGATAATAATTATATTGTTAACGTAGTCATAAAAGAAAGTAAACGAGAGAAAGTAGCTTTCTTAGATATCTTTGAAAAAAATCTTCGTGCAATGAAACAAGTAGAATTGTTATTCGAAACGTAAAAACTTAAACCGAAAAATGTGTAAAAATCTCTAAACTATACTTATAGATTAAGGGAAAGTTCTATAGAAAATTAATGTTTCATCTTAGGAATGCACAATGTGATTGAACTGGCAAAGCAGTACAAATTAAGAATATTCATTCCATCAACAATCGGAGCCTTTGGACCAGATTCACCACGGAATCCTACTCCAAATGTAACTATTCAGCGTCCACGAACAATTTATGGTGTTAGCAAAGTCCATGCCGAGTTATTAGGTGAATATTATCATCACAGATTCGGGCTTGACTTCCGCTGTCTTCGATTTCCGGGAGTCATTAGCAGTGACCCACCAGGTGGTGGTACCACAGGTGTACTTTTCATCATATTTTATTCATTTTTTACTCTTTATTCTCTCTCCTGCATTGTTTATTATTTTTTATTTATAAAGAATAAAATTGTATCATAAAAACATTTTCCTGTATCAAGAAATGGAGCATCATGATTAGAATAACAACATAATAGCGCAATTCATTGGTTTTTAAGGACAATGGTATTAGTAAATTGTTGAGCGTCTCTTGATCATGAACCGTGAGATCGCTTCTTGCGTTTCCCTTGTCTCCTGAAGCGTAAATCTTAAAACAGTAAAATCACATGATAAATAAAACCATAATTTGTAATAAAAAATAATATTCTGTAGGTAATTAATGATTGTACGATATTGTATGTACATTTTTTTTTGCAGACTACGCAGTTGCAGTTTTCCATGAAGGATTATTTGCTAAAAAATACGAATGCTATTTAGAACCTTATACCAGATTACCAATGATTTATATTGAGGATTGCTTATCAGCACTTTTTCAGTTTTTAAACGCTCCAAACGAACAATTACAAAGAAGAGTATACAATGTTACTGCCATGAGTTTCACACCTGAAGAATTATTTAATGAACTTAAAAAGCACGTACCTGATTTACAGATTTCGTATAAGCCGGACGCAAGACAATATATTGGTTGGTCTATAACACACAATACATATATTAGTATCGATATGTATAAAGATAATATACTGTTCAAATTTTAGCTGAAAGCTGGCCTCAAGTTTTTGATGACAGTGAAGCGCGTCGGGACTGGGGTTGGCGACATAAATACAACCTGGAAAAACTCGTAGAATCAATGATTCGCGATGTGAAAAAAAATATGTCAAACAAAAGATCATTAAAGGAGGTCAACAGTTATGTATAATATAAAATCATTTAGGAAATAATTTATATAAATTAGCCAAGGTATAAAAATATTATTTATTTTACAACAAAAACACGATACAAAGTTTAGCAAATATATTTTTATACTTCACATGTCTTCACTCATTAATTGAGCGATATCATCATCATTAAGATGATTTTCGATCCTTTTTGGGGTTGGTCTAGCAGCTCTAGTCGGGGTCGAGTTCATTCTTGCCATTCTTCTTGATGGTGTGGAACCTTTATCTATACTTCTCGAAGGTGTCATTGCACTTCTTAAAGGTGTACTAACATTTCTGTCGATGTTTCGGGGAGTACCAATTCCAGGACTACCAATATTGTGCCTCCCACTTTGTGAGAGTCTTTCTTTGTTTTCAGGTTCTGCATACAAAATAAAAATAAGTTTATTTGTTAACATAATTCCTATATATCTCCCTAATATGAAATACTATTGCACCTGCTGCATTATCCTTAGACAATATGGCACGACTTTCCATGAAATATACATTTGGATGATTAATAGGTTTATCTGGTAAACGATCATGTATAAATTCAAAATATGCTGTACAAGCACCAAAGTAATTTTGTTCTTTAGCAAGGTCTGTTATTTCATTAATACCTGAAGTATACAAGATTGTAGGTATCATTCCTTAGAATTTATAAGTAAAAGAACAATATTCTTACTTGCTGCAGTTACACCATAATTAAATAATTTTTGTCTCAACGATCCTTGATCCATGTGTTTAAATGGACAACCATGATATTCTCCAGCGCTTACAGCAGAAGATATAATTTTTGTACACCCAAGAGGAGTGTAATTTGTTTGTTTACCCTCTTTACCATAAGTATGCCTTATAGTATAGGCATATTCTTTATCAAATTTTCCTGGGTCAATTTTCTTTGTGAATTCGGTTTTCCAGAAGGATAAAGCATCTTCCAATGTTACTCCTATACCTTTTATAAATAAACCATACTGAATACGCCCACTGTTTTTTAGATGGTGGTGAGTTCTAAGTGCTTCGTGTAATACTCTCATGCACAAAGGATACGAAGTTTTTGATAACTGAAAATTATGTAATATTATACAAATGTAAGATCATGAGAAATAAATTAATTACCTCATCCAACTTATCTATAGGTGTAGCAGCACTAGTCCAAAGAACAGTTGTCCTTTCAGAAACATTATGTACAGATTTGAGACACGAGGCTATTCTTTCATCACCATACACACGTCCAACAGACATTCTTGCATCCTAATGTTGAAAACAGAATCAAATTAGTCACACATTAAACAGAATTTGGTTAATTAATATAATAAAGGAAACTTACTGGCATACCATCAACTAAATTTTTCCTAAAACAAGAAACAAACAAAGATACTAAGTCAGTTTGTGGTATAAATGCTATTCCTTGATTCAGATAAACCCTGCGTGATCTAATTAAATCAGTGACTTTTTGAAAGGGCACTTTATAAAACTCTGTCATATCAACATTTTTTACTTTTGCGGTGGATGAACCAAGTTCTTCCCTAAGTTCATCTTTTTCTTCTGATGTAATCTTAGAAAAATAACATTAAAGATAACAATCATAAAACTTGAAATAATTAACTTATATTTTATTTTATTAATTTTATTTCTTACTTGCTGGCAATCAATTTTATGCATACTAAGTAACTTTTCTACTCCTTCTTTATCTAATGAGTTGAATCTTAATTTAAAAAATTCTACTTCTTGATTAATAAACCATGTTTGGTTATCTGGCTCAAAACAATGTGATAGTCTCAATATAAAATGTGATATATGATCCTTTCTTCTATACTGTAAATCTGTTTCTGTCGGTGTTTTGCATCCCTTTGCATACAAAAGATGTGCATAATATTTAAGTCCATCTTTAGTTAAAGCTGTGTTTAGATTTTGTTTACGCTCTTCTAATGTCTTAAAATCTGTTCTATTTGCATTGTTTTCAATGTGTAATAAAACTATAAATAATTATATGTAGTTATGTACAATTGGAACTATTTTGATACACAACTCTTAAATTTTATAGATATACAAAGAAACAATTATTAAATAGTAAATTAATCATGACATTCCATAATACTTACGTCTTAATCTTTCTTTAGCCAACTGTTCAAATTCTGTAAGTAGTACTTCACCTCTTGGAGGAAAATCATACATTTGTAGATCATGAGGATAGATATCCTCAAGATCATTACTTTTCACTTTAATTGCATATCGTCTTCTTTTAGTATATTCCATTTTTTAAAAATAAATATATCCACTCTACCTGTCACATCAAATACATTTATAAATTTATTGCTTTAAACAGATTATTTAAATAATTTGTATAGTAGAAATTTTATATAATAATTACAATTAATAAAATTACTGATAGGTAAACACGTACCTATTTGAGGATACTTTATTCGTTGCATACGATCAATTTAACGTTAAGGCACTTAAGCAGCCATTACTATAGCACTATCTTTCCCGCGCTTTTTTCCCGCTATTTTTCGATCGAAACTGTTCGATAGGGAAGGTAATGCAAAAAAAGTATATTGTGTTCATTAAAAAATTTTAATATGTGTTTAGACGTAGAAAATTATGATAAATATCAATATATATTTATTAAAAATTAATATACAATCGTCAGTATTTTGATATAGAAAAATGTAATTCTTAGTTACAGTCTAGTATCCAGTAAGAATGTATATTAAAAGAGGATTGTACATCGTTAAATACATGTATTATAGTTTAGAATTCTTACGTGCCACTGCAATAGAAACATTTTTTAATTGAAGGGGAGCTAAATGGCCATCGGCGCTATCAAAATTTTGAACATAAAGCTCTTTCACTTGCAGATTGAAAAATTCCATTCTATTTTTTATGGGAGATATGTCTCGAAATTCAGAGATGGTGATATCGGTTCTATCAATGATTTGTTTGTCAAGTAAATTGACTTTATTTGGATACATCGAGTCACCAGGTAAAACGTGTACTTTTCCATCTTGTAATTCTACCTGTATCTAATAATATACATATGTATTATTTTAAAATCATTTCTTAAGTATTAGAATGAGATTTTTTCAAGTTCTTTTACATACTGGTAAATTTAAGAGCACCCCCATTTTACCACGATCGACTGCGAAATCTAGTAAATTATGTATGCTTTCGAACTTTGCTATTCTTGCAATTTCGTATTGTTGAGGAGGGGGAAATGCAACATTAGGAGATGAAAATAAAAAATTCCCGGGCATGTCCCACTAAATTTCAAAAGCAATATTATATATATATATGTCATACTATATTATATTATATTATACTGATATATGATATTTGATTATTACAACAATCTTACTTTCAAATCTTCCATTTCTGTAATCTCATAAATGGTTTGAGGCATAGTTGCAATACAAGCCAAATAAAAAGCAGTGTCATAACGTCGTCCAATAAAACAAGTTGGTGTTAACCAATTACTCCATTCATAAAGAGACCATAGATCTGGATAACAGTTAAAATCTTTGCACAATGTATAAAATTCTCTGGCATCGTTGTGCACCCTTGTTTGCCAATTATATAATTCACTTTCAGAAACTAAAAAGAGACGAGAAATAAAAAAGGAGAAAAGAGAAAATTGTCATTTATTTATTTACTTTAACGAAACAGATTTTATTTTTGTGATAGAAACATTATCAAACAAATTACTTTTTATGTGTTGCGTCCAACCAAGATCAGTCATCTCTTCTCGTGATTGCTTGCAAAGAAGTATACCAGATTCTTCGAAAGTCTCACGAATTGCAGTAATTCGTAATGAAACTTCTCTTGGTAATTCATTCGGTTTAAATTTGAAAATTTGAGGACGATTTGGAGCATTAGGACTCAAAGATTTAAAACTATTGGCATCAAAACCGAAGGCGGAATAAATATTGTGCCATTTTAAATCAGCATCGGATGGATCTACTACTCCTCCAGGAAATACATATGTACTTGGCATGAACTTCGAATTCCGATGACGTTTTAGACATAGTAGATTGTAATTATACTGAAACTAGATATTATTATCAAAACTTTGAATGTATAGCTACTTTTCTGACAAAAAATATAAATCAAAGAACGATTTCGGTGTATAAAATACGATTCGATTATCGATATTATATTCATAACCTTAAGCTTGGTTATGTTTTATTATCTTTTTTTTTTTTTGCTACAATAATAAGAATAATGATCAAAGCAACATTTAATTATAAATACTTTAATCAAATTTACCTTTGTAGAAGACGGGCGAATATATCTTTGTGTTTGACGTGCAGCTAATATTAAGCTAGCAGAATCTTTCCACGCTTTCATTTTATTATTAATTAACGTACTTTGATTTTATGTTAATATTTGTAATTTATGAAATTTTTTAATAAAAAAAAAAATTTACAAGGTTATGTGATCCCACAAGATGTATTTATAACTTATAACCTAATTGACTATATCTGTATATATATACGATCTAAAGAAGATAATCTTCAGTAACAAAATAAATGAATCATCAAATGAATAACATCATCTTTTTTAATATATATTGTATTTTTCTATATATTGTAAAGCTTTGTAATGTAATTAGACTGTTAAACATTGTTTTCTTTTTTCTGCACTCTGTAATTTCTTTATTGTAATATTTTATATTTTTTACAACATTAAATATGCTATAGTACACTAATATTTAATATACTTTATGTACAAGTTTATTAAACACTAGTGTTAATGAGTATTATTATAAGGCATCTTGTTCAAGTCTAAATTTTTATGGATTATTTATGTACATAAATAATGATATGAGTAAATTATAACTACATTGATAATACACTATGATATGTAATATTACATATCTCAAAAACTATAAAATATGAAGTGCTTTGACGTTGTAGCGATAATAAACTATTTGTCTTTTCCATCATTATTAGTTTTACCAGTAGCTGCGATCATTAGCTCATACAACTGGTACATTTGTTCATTCCTAAATTTGTCTAAATCTTCTTCTTTTAAATTTTTACCTAGAGGCTTAGCTGTATGAGGCCCTTTTAGTCCAAGTTGTTTAGTAAGCATTATAGCATACTCCTGCGAAATAAAGTAATTTCATTATTCATGTTAGTCAACGTAATTTTTAGCTATTAAAGACAAAATATCAATTTAATTCATATTTATTGTACTTTTATCACTGCGATAGAGGATAAAAGATAACCTATATAATTATTTTAGAGAAGTATTGGACTAAAATTTTTAATATTACTCACTGTCCATTCCTTCAAAAATATAGCTGCTGTAGCTTCATCACAATTTTTATGTCTTCTGAACTCATCTTGTACATAACTAGTTCCTACAGCTTGAATTTCAGCTGGTAAACCACGATGTAACCTTAAAATTGCTTTGTACAGTACTCTAACACGTTGTACATGAGATAAATTGGACATAATTTATTTATTGTAAGAATGTCATTTATACATGCTAATTGAATGTTTGCATAAATTTTTTTCAATATCAACTTTATTGAAAGACAAATTTTATTAAATAAGAGATATTAAAATCTCGCGCCAAATAACATACAACTCTTTGTAAGTAATGAAGGAAAGAAAGATTGTATATGTGTGCACCTATTTATAATATTATGTAAACTATATATACATTATCAAATTATTGGATCTATTGTAATGAAAAATGATTACAAATCAAAATTAATGACATATTTTGATACAATGTTCTGATAATTACTGTTTAGCTGAATTTTGCAGTGCACTTTATTCAAGACATAAATTAAAATACTTTGGCAGGTACTTAGAAATATTTGAAATATCAGTGGATTTGATACAATCGAAATTTAAAACAATGATTGCTTATCATAAGGGGATCTATATAATGTAACAAAATTAAAATATTATAGTTTAAAAAAATAGTACGACACATATCGTATGATGTGCATAGAATAACGTTTTCAATTATTGGATACTAATAAGAACTCAAATTCTTAAAATATAGATATTATGCTCTTTAAGACTTGAAATTTTAGCGAGAAAATTGCAATGTTTCTTAAAACGATAAAAAGTCCCGGAACATTATCAAAGTTTAATCCGTATAATTTAAACTTTTCTTACAACGTTTGATACAATTTTTATTAAGTCTTTGTTAATGTCTATTTTTAAATTGAAATAATTAAAACAAAAATTAAATTGAGATAACTGAAATAATTACTTTCTGCGCCTATGTTTTTAGGCAGGACCCCCGCGAATATTTCGACCAATAGCGATGATTAAACTTCGGTACCAATCACCTGTCTTCTAACATTTTTCAATTTAGAACGTTATATGTTTTTATAACTTTTTTAGTTCATTATAGAGTACAATGAAGTGAGAACGGATACTCTGAGTGAATTACTAAAGGTAATGGTTTTGATTAAATTATGTACAAAAATAATCGGTTTAGAATTTTTATGACTTATGTTAGAATATGTAGTTTTACTGCATATTTCGATGAATATTGTGCAATGGTGTTCCCCCCTGCCGCGTTTTGTTGACCAATCAGGTGGATCTATTGTATCCTTCTGGCTACTTCTTTATTACTGCTCATTCGTCATTGCACCCTCGTCCTGTTAGGATACTTAAATAATTAATCCGATTTAACGTATTAATTTTACAATTCTATTTTTCATTACGTGGTCTTAGCGGTTATAAAAAGAAGAAAAGAGATATTAAGAAACCTAGGTAAGCAATTTTATTCATAAAATTCAGTTTTTATTTTTAGTTTACTGCAGTAAAAAAAATTGGCGATGCATTCTCCAATCTTCTTATCGTGTAAAGACATAACTTTACTATTTTTCATAATTTCTTGAAAATAATGCATATTTCTGTTAATTTTCATTCATTTTAATATAAAACGAGTTTTTGGAGCAGTTAGAAGCTGTAATTTTATGTTGAAAATTAATTTTTTATTTACCGATATCTACGGGGTTCAACGATCTTTTCGCATGGAAAAGTCGTTTTGGCCATTGTTAGTTTTAACATTAGAACATTTTATACTTTGGCGTCCATTTTGAAAAGTTCTTTTTTTTCGTAATGAATACGAATATTCTTTCCAAATATATTTTATGATAAATGTTATTTGTTTACTTAAATAGTGGAAGAAAATGTATAAGATTAGCATTTTGATGCATTTTTAGTCAAAATTTATTATTGAATTATGAAAGACGTCAGTTGAAATTTCATTTTTTAATATTTTTTGTAGTAATAGTACTACAATTTTTTTGTGCTTGCCTATTACATTGTTTGAATCAAGAGATTGAGATAAAATAGATAATTGTTTTTCGTAAAACAATTTTGAAGGATTTAATATAACGACATTTCGTTTTTTCTTATTAGATTAAAAATTTTCTATTTTTTCGTCAGAAAAATTAAAATGTAAAAAGAATTATAAATCGTGTCAAATATCAATTGTATGTAAACATCATTATTATTATTCTTTTTTATAGAATTTTTAATGAAGATCGAATACCTGCCTGTTGGGCAAAGTAGTATGAAATTGGCGAGATATCTACTACTATTTCTTTGAAATTGGTTCAGATGTGTGAGTAAAAGATTTAGTTATAAAATATTTCATTTAATTTGCGAAAAGATCTTTTATATATAGTACAAATAATGAATACAATATTGCATCCAGAATTTTATTTATTATACATCATTGGATAGTGTATATAATTTTTTATTAATTTTATCCATTATACTTTTTTAATAAATTAGAAAGATTATTGATTTTTATTAAATAAGTTAATATAATATACAAAATAAAGTTTTTCTAAGGTATATAAAATGTTATAAATAATAATTATTTATTGATTGTTAATAATTTGTTGCAATGATGATTTTCTATATTTTCATATCAATGTTTTATCATACACATATATATGTATGTATAACAAAAACAGAAATATTTGATAAAAAATGTGTCTTCTATGGATGTTTCCCTTGTTCTTCCTTTAATACTTATTTCTTTCAGGAAATTTTGTCTTTTGATCGTAATGCGGTCGTAGAGTCAGTGTTTGTACGCGAAATAAATACTTTCTTTTTCTGAGCACCGTGGCTCGTAATTTTTACTTGAATAATAGCGTAATAGTAGATTCAGTGTTTGTTCGCCGTTTAATATTTTATTCGTGTCGTAAATTTATAAAAAAAAGTATATCCCTTGGTCGCGTCGCGAAATTAGTCAAGTCTGGCTGAGGAGAGGATCTCCTTCGGGTTTTACTCCGATGAAGAAGCTTGTAAGTATCTAAAAACAATATTACTTTCCCAATTATTTAATTAGTTTGCAGTTCACTAATATTTTCTTTTTTGTAATTTGTTTCAGGAAATAATTGAAAATGTTAATCAAGTACTGGCCGATGTCCATGAATGTATGGAACATGTAATTGTAAGTTTATTTCCTTTGTTGTAAATAAATAACATTATCTATTACTTTTCCATTCGATCCAATCCTATAAAAAATTAATTTTTTTATTACAGAAAAATTAACAGTGTTTAAAATGGCACAAATTAGGAGTATTCTGCACTATCAAGCGTTGCAGTTCATACTAGGAATACATGTAAGTTTGTAAAAACAAATTTAATGAACACATTGAAGGTTACTTTAGAAGGCTCTAGTTTCTACTGATTCCTTTTTATTTTTGCCGTAGTGTTTTCTTTACTGCTGGATCTGGTGATACATCTCAAATTTCAACTTCGACTAACTGAGGGGTACCGGCCGATAGTTATCAGTATATGGACAGTGTGGACACGGACACAGATATATTCAGCGGACGGTGAGTTTTGCTTCCAAGATTTCTTATTCGTTCGCGCGTGAGCATAGTGATCACGAGAATAAGATGTTCATCTCGTGTATCAATGTTTATTAAATATTTTTTGTATTGTGTTTATTTTTGTATTTATATTTATTAGCTCAGGCTAGGAGGTCTTCTTGTTTCTTTTTCGCAAATCATTAGAACAGAAGTCGGATGATCCTCCGATTTCATGAAAACTATTTCCTTTTTCCGTTGAATATATTTTATGCTAATTGTGTCTTATAAAGATGAAGTAAAATATAAAAATAATGAATATATATGTAAAGATACATATATCTTTATAAAGAAATAAAAATATATATTTATATTGAAAATAAATAAAATTAAATAAAAATAAGTAAATTTTACATGTAAAATAATATAATGAGCAAGAAGACAATTCGCGATAGTTAGATTCTAATACCGAAGTAATAACTTAAAATGTTTTTAATATATTTCGAAACATTTACTTCGTGATAGGATCGACTTAGGGTGTAGTACATATAGTGATAGATGTCCTACTGGACAAATTGTAAAATTTAAATAAATAAATAAAAAAAAAATATAATGATATAAAGAACGAACATTATTAAATAAATAATACATGTTTCTTACATTTCTCTAGATTACATTTCAATGAATAAAGTTTTCATTAAATTTTTTTAATATTTTTCATTTTATTAAATTTTTGACATTATTTAATAGTAAATGTATAACAGAAAATTAGCTCGTTTAGATATTTTATAAATGGCTTTTTTAGCTTAGGATTTTCAGCATGCAATAAAGGTATGTGTTATTTATTGTGGCCGTGTTCATTTTTTTAACCTAAACTTATGAGCGGGCTCAGGTGCTCCTCTCATGGGTATAGATGGTGGACACGGTTTTATTTGTAAGATTCACTTTTAGCAACTGACAATACTTAGCGTTTGTGTACGATGTAAGTTCCATATGTGTGAGTGTGGTTAAGTTGGAATGGAATTTGCGTCGGATGAGCGGATATGAATCGGATATGTATTAATAAAATAGAAAAAATTAATTATTTCATGGAAAGACATAAATACGAAATTTGAATTTGTATTTAAATTCAAAATCTGAAATTTGAGATCTGAAATGAAGAATACAAAATATCTTATTAAAGTATATTGTATACATAAATTAGAATGGATATTGTATGAACAAATATACATATAAATTTGTATGAATTGATACAAGTGGAAATGATACTACAAAGAGATACAGTTATTATATAATTTGTATAATTAACATACATGTAAATATACAGAGAGTATTTTATGAAATCTTTGAAACACATTAAGGAATATATGAAATAAGATAAGATACTTTATATATATGAATATGTATCACAATACTCGCTAAGGTTGTCAGTTGATTTCAGCATTGGTACGTAATTTAATGTATGAAAGATTGTATGCTACAAGCTCGGGTGACGGAGGCGTCCCGGGACGTATCTCCCTAGTGTAGGCATCTGCACCTGGGTGTTATGTGTGAGAATCGTGGAGTGAGTGTGTTGGTGTGTCTGTTTTGTCATTTTTTAAATATAGGTCCGGGTAGGTAGGTAGCATACTCTTCTGGTGTGAATGTGTGATGTAGATTATAAGTAGGTAGATCCAGGAAAAGCAGATAAAATAGTATTTCGTATTTGAGGGTATTAGATTGCGTGATATATCTGCACCTGGGACTTAAGTGGAATCGATTAATGTTTCATTAATTGATTCCAATATATTATTATGGTTCGTACCTAGATTTTAAGTACGTCCGCGGTTCTAGACCCGGACGAAA